GAGCAAGAAACCTACCCGAACTCAGACCGGCCTGAATAAGCTTGTCCTCCGTCAGGTAGACTTTGCATTTGAGCCCAAGCCGGGCCCAGTCTTGGAGGCCCTTCACCATATCTTCCTCTAATGCGACACCGAGGTCAGGAACGGCCAACCCCCACTCAGTAGGAAACGACTACCCCGTAGCACTTCGAACCACGAAGTAGTCCCGCTTCCATGCAAGGACCTTATTTGGGAGATCGTGTAAGAGCTTGAAGCTCAGGCGAGGTGACAAGTAGTATGCCCTTCTACACCCGGGCAGGGGACCCGCTTGTTTCTTAAGCATGAGAATAGTGGAAAAAATTTCCAGGTCCAAGGGAAGGCAGTGCTCACAGCAAAGGGAGACGGTCCCGACAAGATTACGGATGGAGTTTGGGTGAAGCTGACCTACAGTGACGCCGAAGTGGTTCATGACCTCGACGATAAGGGGATGGAAGGGAAGGCGCAACCCAGCAACAAGCTGCTCCCAGAATATCACGATCTCGTCCAAACCGTGCTCTCAAGGAAAGTCGCCCGAGGGTAAAATATAAGTATATTCCCCGACAGGTTGTATTGAGCGATAAGGGACCAAAGCCTCTCGGGTGTCATAGTGGAAGGTCCGAACTTATCTGGCACCCGACCTCGACGGGAGGTGGATGCCAAACTACCCGAGGTGACTCGGCCTACGGGCTCAAACTCGAGCTCTACTTCGGGCCCCGCCTCGGACTCACTAAGGCTGTCGGGGGCAGCAGCTCGGTTCGTAGAACTAGCATCAGACCCCCCAAGGAGACTATCTAAGCTACTCGAGCTAGACATCGAAACAAAGAGAAGGCTGAGGACTCACCAGGAAAAGCTACCAGACTACGAAAAGTGACGCAAGCTGATAGCTTGAGACGCGAGCTCAAGGAACGAATGCTGATGGATGGCGAAGGAAAGTGACCAGCCCCCCCCCGCTATTTATAGCCACTGTACTCGTGCATCAACGACCAAGATCAAAACCATCCAACGGCTCCCCGCGAAACCGGCTACGCACCCCCCGAGGAGAAGTCAGTTTGGCGCGCATTTTTGACGTTCAAAAATTTGAAATCGTTTACGCGCGTGAGCTACACGCAACCCGGGATTGACCCCTAGTCGAACCAAGCCGACCCTGGTTGGGCCAAGAACACAAGCAAGTCAGACCGGAGAAGTTCCAAACCAAGGCCAAAGCGTCATGAGGCAAATCCACCCGTCATCCCGTGAACTCCCCACGTCGGGTCAGGACCCCGGGCATGGGGAGTGGGGGGCAATTGATGGAGGGAGATTTAGCCCGACCCCTTGGCCACGCGACACGTGGAAGCAACCGAGAGTGACCTGGCAGAAGCGCCAGCTCGGCATGGCAGCGGGCCCACAACTTGAGCCCCTAGCTAAAGAGTCCTGAGCTCCCCCATAGAAGGAACCTACAACCTAAGCCCCAAGCTAAATAGTTCCGAGCTCCCCAAGGAAGAACCCAGCTCTCCCTTGGAGGTCCTGAGCCTTACAAGGAGCACAAAAGGCAAAAACCCGAACTGCCCACCCAAGGGCAGTTCAGGCCACACTTCTATCCGAACTCAAGACTTCACCTCACACACCATTTCGGCTCTAAGTCGTCTGACTGAACAACCGTACCTGACGCCTAGGAAGCCCGTACACGGAGGCGGCGCACCTGACCGATTAGGAGTCCGACACATGACAACCGCCCTCCAACGGCCACCTGCCACTGCCATCTCAGACGTGGCAGAGACGGCCCTAACAAGGAAGACAGTGACGGTTATGACACCCGAACTGGCAACTGGCAGAGGTTATGACACCCAAATTGGCGTCTGGCAGAGATGATGACACTCGATCTGGCGGAGGTAACGATGCCCGATCTGGCAGAGGTATGGGAGTGATTGTACCGGGGTAATTATAAAAAGCCCCCTTCCCCCAAAGGAGGAGGTATGTGATTCTTGCGCTTTCTGGTCTTGAAGTTCTTCATTTCCCTTGCCTTATCAAGAGCACTAACTTGAGCTTCGGAGTGTTCCAACTGGGTTCCTCCCCGAAAATCTCCGTTTTCTTCCTTGTTTCAGGCACCTCCAATTCCATCAGAGGCGAAATAACCGACAACTAGGATCAACCGGATTCCACATCATCGTATATACATTACAAATATTTACAAAATAATACAAAATGCAAGGTTTTACATTCTACATATTTACATATATACTCTTTCGAAACTGAGCCTAAGCTCCTGAAACGTGATGTTTCTAATGCACCACGGAGATGTAGGATGATATCCCAACAGTCTGCGTCGCCTTCAACTTGGAGGCTCCAATCAGACCTTCCAAAAAAACATGCCAATGCTTGTACAATTTTGATAGGGTCCAATATTGGATGAATTGGCTTGGCATGGCCAAAAAACGAAATGTCCATGGAAGTCTTTGATAATCACACCGACACCGTTTTTGAGTTATTTGTAGCACCATCAACATTTATTTTAACAACACGCGGTGGATTGATGTTTATAGTTATAAAATAAATAAATATTTTCTTGAACCAAAAGCCTTGAATGTTTCATGGAATTCCAATATTAGTTGTTTGATTTATTGGGACGTGCTTCGTAGCCCCTCCATGAGGTTTATTGGCGCCTCACACTGGCCTCACAAGTACATTCCATCATGGCACCATACATTATTTGGAACATCTGCCTTATTTATGTGTTATTATTTAAGGGAGATATTCTGAGGCGCCTTGGGTGAGGAGCAGATCCCAATTCATCTGTTACTAATAAATGCTCCCAACAGGTTTGATATGCACATGCAGCAATAATTCATATTATAATATATATTACTACTTTCTTCAAAATAATATTAATAAATCTACTAGTGTATCAACGATTTTGGTTGACATCTATATTTAACATGTCACAAAATATTCGTTATGATTTTTGTAAATGACATAAATAAAAATTTATAAAAAAAAGAAAGGAAGAGGTAAGTTATGAAGAAAGCGTCCCTTAGGCTTAGTTTGGAAGGAGTGCAAATATAAATATGTAGAGTGCAAAACCTTAAATTTTGTATTATTTTGTATGTATTTATATTATACATATTTGTATTTGTACTCCTTCCAAATTAAGCCTTACTGGTCAAACCCTTTGCTATCATTGAGCCTTACTGCAAAACCTTACAAGACCGTTTTGGTCCTATCCAAGATAAGATATGGTATTCTGCTATGAGTGGATGATCCCTACCCACAAAATAGCGTAGACAAGGACGGGCCACACTTCAATTTATCGTCCATAGTATTTTCTCGTTGATGGTCCACACTATGGTGTGTATAGTTTGTGGAAAGGTTTAAATGTAACGCACTTGTGTTACATTAGTATAATTACTCTCATTTTATTTAGTCTTTTAATAAATTTTAAATTTTAATATTTTATCAATAAAATAATAAGGGAAATTCCCAATTAGTACCCTGTACTATGGGTCTAGTGTCATTTTGATCCCCGTAACCTTAAAATGCGACAATTCTGTACCCAAACTTTCAAAACGTGTCAATCTAGTACCTACCGTTAACTAGTTGTTAACCAGCCGTTAAGTGGCATTTGAAAAAGACACAAATGCCCTTTGAGTGTCATCTAATTTTCTTTATAAACCATCCAAACGTTGACAACAAAATTAATAGTCCCAAATCCTTGCCTCTTCTATTCAAGAAAGTTGGGGTCATGTCTCGGTAGGCATTTTGATGACCTTAACTTTCTTGAATAGAAGATATAAGGATTTGAGACTGTTAATTTTTTGTCAACATTTGGATGGTTTATAAAGAAAATTAAATGACACTCGAAGGGCATTTATGTCTTTTTCAAATGCCACTTAATGGTTGGTTAACAGTTAGTTAACGGTAGGTACTAGATTGACATGTTTTCAAAATTTGAGTTGTAACATTTTAAAGTGCGGGGACCAAAATGACACTAGGCTCAAAGTACATGGTACTAATTGGGAGCTTTCGTTAATTCTAGCACAAGTGGGATGGTTCTCCTTCTCCACTCTTGTTTCATTATTTAAATATTATTTTTTATTTTTTATCAATAAAATAATATTTTTTAATATTTAAAATAACAATTTTTAAATTATTTAAAAAATGCAATTATTGCCTACATATTAATTTACCATATAAAATACAAAAATAAACATTTATGACCGACTTTGTAGATCTCCCATAAAATATATGTGAAATACATGGAATCAAAAAGTGTACACCTACAGAACGCCACTATGGCTGTGAACTATCCCGATCAACACAATCTATCCACAATTTATAACAGCTATGGATCGTGGTGTGATATAGACCCCACTAATTTTTCATCCATAGAACACCCCCTTAATTAATTGTTAAATTATTGGCATTGTTCATCCCAAAGAAAAAGAATCCAGAGATGAAAATCCCAGCTCCTTCGAAGATAAGACACATGTCAAGAAGTGCATCAAGCTAAAGGACAAGTTTCGAAGAGGTCTGGCGCAGGAAGCTCTATCTGCTCCAACATAGCACTTTTATTTTAGTTTAGCTTCTGTTGCTTATGTTTGGGGGCGTGCTACTCGGTCTTGTGTAGCCCATTTTTGTTTTTTTTTTTTTAAAAAAAAAAACTGTTGGCATTGCCGTCTTCACGAGGGTTACTCTCTAAATCGAAGCCATCCAATTGGGGCACTTGTGTGGATGGGTGATATCCAAAATTTGGGCCCAATAGCATAAGATGGTGACATAATAAAGGTAAAGAAGACATGCAACGGTTAAATGATTCTCACACAAAAACAAAAGAAAGCCCCCACTGACTAATTAGACAGTTGGGTCATTCAGTTAACGCCAAGTGGACAACAGATGCAGATTTTTGCCCGGAAGAAAACACCAAACAGGTTTCCTCTTCCTAATTAATTCACGAGATATGTATATATCCTCGATCGACCCGGCCATCAATTCATATCATGTGTTCATGATATGTATGATCATCACCTACTTCAGCCTCCCCACTTCACCTCTCTTTATTGCAATCACCATTCTCTTGCCATAACAGTGGTCGAAACCTGTAAAAGTTTTCTCTTTTATGAGCCGCCCCAACCCTTTATAACTGGAAAAAGGTTTCTTCAATCATAGCCATGCTCTCTCTAACTGGTGGACTGGTTTCCTCCTTGCTTTCATGGATCCAAATATATTTTATCCATCCCATCCTTCTCCTTTTATCTCTATGCCTAGACACTGCTAATTAGTACCACCGCCCACTCTTCTTTGTTTTCTCCGGCCCCCGGCCAGTTTCTGATAAGTCTTCTTCATGGCAAGCGTAGGCGTTTATGTGGCGTTGCTTCTGCTCCTTGCCGGCGGTACGACACGTCAAGGAGAGTGCTTGATCGACGACGGAAACAACTACGTGAGGGAGGCCTGCAGCGTCACTCGGTACCCTGATGTGTGCATCCATTCGCTGGCATCCTTCTCCAATGCGGCCAAGAGGAACCCTCGGTGGTGGGCGCGGGCCGCTGTGTCGGTCACGCTGCGTGAGGCCAAGTGCGTGGCGCAGTACTTGGCTAAGCTGAAGAAGAGAGGACACCTGAGAGGGAGGAGCCGAGTGGCCCTGGCGGACTGCATCGAGTGCTTTCAGGACACCATCTACAACCTTCACAAATCGCTTGGCGAGCTGAGGACTCTGCAAAGCAGGACGTTTGAGCGGCAGATGGGGGACGTGGAGACGTGGATGAGCGCTACCCTGACCGACGAGGACACCTGCTTGGAGGGGTTTGGCGACCAAGAAGGAAGGCAAATAAGGTCGTCTCTGTCCAACAGAGTTCTGAATGTTACTTACATGACCAGTAATGCTCTGGCTCTTGTTACCAAACTGGCGTCTGTTGGCATAACAAGTAATCCATAGAGAGAGTCTGGTACTCTGGTTGTGGCAGAATAAGAAGGTAGTACGTACTCCTTGATTATTATTAATATAATATGTGTACTCTTCTTATATTGATGCAGATAACAGAAATAGTTAAGTTAATATGTAGTAGGCGATTATGGTCTGGACCAATAAGGCATATATTGCTTGCCAAATAGAGATATAGATCATATATATGTTATTTAATTAAATGTGATACTTGGGTGTCAAACTGGTTGGTTAGTAAGGTATCTGTAAATAGGTTCAGGGTTATGGGTTTAGGGGATGGGCTACCCCATTGTGTAGCCCCCATGATGGAGCAAAAAATAATGATGATAATAAAGCACAAGAAGACATATATCTATTATGTTATATACAAAATGAAGTTTCTTGGTCCATGTCATCTAATTTTCTCCCAAATGATCACCTTGCTTCTCCACCCGGATTTGTCTATCCACCACGACACACTGCCGCCAGATATCGCCATATCTTGTATGTTGTCATTGATGTGGCCATAGGTGAGATGTGTTCCCAACCTTGTGTGTATGTGTTTTCTTTTGAATTAAAAATATAAAGAATCATCAAACATGAGGCTATTTAAACTCACCCACAACCAAATTGAATGCAATCACTCTCTCATGGAACATGGGCATCTTTTAACATCAATTCATGCAAGTCTCTTCTAGGGGTATTTTGTATCATATGGTATTAATGTTGGTAGATTAATTTAATGGCAGTGATACCATTACCAAAACCCTTGAGGGATTAGGTTGACTGTTGATAGGGGGTGTCAATTGTACTGCATCAGGTCCAATCCGATCCAGTCCAATGTAAGTCAATTACAAATGGATCAGGTCCAATCCAATCCAATGAGTATTTTGGACCATTTGGACCAGTCCAATTCAATGTTTGGACCGTTCAACTGTTTAAATTCGTTTCATTTTAGATTGGTTTGAGTCTAAACCTGATCCATTGACACCTATATTCTTATCTTATATCAATGGATCAGATATTGGCTTAATCCAATCCAATATAAATTTATTACGGATGGACCAGATCCAATCCAATCTAATAAATATTTTGGACTGACTTGGTCCAATCCAATATATCTTGCTGGTCTGTCTAATCCGTCCAAATTAATTTTAGGCTGGACGGGGACCGATCCAAAACCGGTCTATTGACACCCTTAACTGTTGACATATTCTTACCTTTTGGCATTAGACCAATCAAGTTCCACTTAAACTAGTTGCCAAATTTTAACTTAAAGACAAAATTAATTGTCTTGATTTTTTAGGCTAAGAAATAGCCATTTCCCAAATCATCAATTCAGTGACAAGTCACAGCTTTCTACCATTTTTTTTTATAAAATCGTCATTTTTCTATGGGCCGGGCTTGATGGTTGCCTAGCTTGGTGCCTGGTGGGTAACTTGTAAGTTTATATAGTTTGGTTTCGGTTATTCTGATTGGGTGGTCTAGGACTGATTAAGGCGGCATTTGGTTGAGCTTTCTAAAAGGATTACTAAACTCAAAAACTCAAAAGAAGTCTTCGGCTTCAGCTTTGATTAAGCTGCGTTGAATGAACTGCTTAAAGAAGCTACTACAACTAACTTGATGATCAGAAAGTCAGTTTATCAGCTGAATTAAAGCATATTTGAACTTTCCACTAGCACTTAGATTTTCAAAAAATGAAGGCAAAGTTATGGAAAGCCTGTCTAATAGCTTTTATCTTCAAACCTCTGTCTTTGGTCTGATCATGACAATCATCTGGCAAATAACAGTAGTTAGAAGAATTAGGAAGACTTTAAGCTGATTTTATAATGGAAGTTCAAAGTAAGACACCAATTTTAAAAGGATATCTATCTTTGATCTTTTTTTGGGATCAGAAGTTATTGAGCTCTGGCTTTCTAAAGGCATCCTACCAAACCATAAAAACCTTTTTAAAGCTTCCATGACTTTCAAAGCCCAAACATAACCTAATCACATGTTTGGTCATCATGAATTGGTACTCTTGAAAGAGTGCAAATGCAAATATGTACAGTATAAAACTCGTATTTGCATTTTACATTTTTGTATTTATACTCTTCCCAAACTAAGCCTAATGAGCTAGTGTGTTGCACTGATCTTAACTTCCTCAAATCCCTCATAAATCCGAATTATACACTAACGAATAAAACATCATCAAATTAAATTTACAAGGGTGGTTTTAATGGGTTTCTGATACTAAGATTCACATATTTTTAACCTGACCAATCAAACTCACCTCTATGAATTTTGATTAATTCTCATTGGAACCTAATGCATGAATATATACCCTTAGGTTTAGGAGATTAGAGCTCATTCCTCATTGTACAAGAGGGACCAGATCAACTAGGCACAACATAATATATGTTTGGTTCCACTTACGTTTATTGACGGTGCCACATAGGCGCCCCATCAACAAATGCCTCATTAATTGTATTTGTGTGTAGCGAAGTTTGCATTTCTGTGCACCTCTCCCGTTTCAGGAAGCTTCATTTTGGAGCTTCCTGAACAGGTAGGCATTTATTGGCATTTTGCTGATGTGGTGCCTAATGGCGCCTATGTGTCATAAATGCCCTCATTAAATGTGTTTCTCGGTTTTGCAGTCACACAAGTACAGAACGTTTATTGAATAAACGTAAATGGAACCAAACACCCTCATAGTAAGCATGTTCAATGAGCACACTTATTAAATATTCAAACAATTGTCAAAAGTTGTTTTTAATATTTTTCAAGGATAGGTTGGGTGTGTTTTTAGGAGCAGGTGTCAAAAAATTTTCTTTGAAGTGCCATTTGATTGCACTGTTTAGAGGTCTGAATCTGAAAATGCTACTTTTCAGACCTCACCCCTTGTTTGGTTGTACCTCTTAAACTAGGTTTGAAACTAATTTTCAGATCTGAAAATCACAGACCTTGGGCTGGCTCTTAATGTCTCTCTCTTTCTCTCTCTCTCTCTCTCTCCCTCCCCTGTCTTCCTACCACCGCCACCGCCGCTGTAACAAGTAGCAGTGGCGGTTCGGTACTCCAGTGAATAATAATAATGTTTTTATTAATTATTAATTATAAAATATTCTTATTAATTATTTTAATATTTTTTATTAAATTTATTTGTTTTATTTATTAATTATTTTTATTAACTAATAATTTTTAATTATTTCATTAATTTTTAAAAATTATTTTAATTTTTATTTGTGTAAATTATTAATTAGTAATTATTAATTATTTTAATATTTTTATAATCATTATTTATTATTTTTTTTAATTTTAATTGTTTTATTTATTAATTTATATTATTTCAATATTATTTCGAGGTTGAAAATTATTTTTATGAGATAATGTAAATTGAATTCAACATTTTCAAATTGTATATTTTAGGGGTAAAATAGTAAAATCGATAAATTTTAGATGGTAAAAGGTTGATCCAACACAAAAAACTCATGGATTCAGATCTTCTAAAAAGTAAAAAAGCAACTATACCTCTTTTCAGATTTCAGACACATTTAATATTTTTTAACTTTTCAAATCTGAATTTTCAGATTTATCAAACGCCACCTAAGTGTCCATTAAACCTGCTTACAATTCTATGCTACCTGATCCAGATTGCATACAAGATGTCTCTCTACATGCAATACTCGCTACTCTTATATATATCTTGATTCTCTTCAAATCTTCCCGAAGGGATGCATGCTAATACAACACTGGTAAGTATTAACTACTTTATCTAAATAGAGAAAACTTTAGCTATCTCTACGTTCAAAAACCTTGGTTGTCACCTGTCAATGGAGCTTTCTTTATGTATGTAACTGTGTAAGACAATAAGTAGGAATGGCTACGGGGCAGGAGTTGATACCCATTCTCATCCCACAAAAATTCCAATCCCTACCAACGGGGACAATGTTTCTCATCTCCATCTCCATGGGATCCCCATCCCACTCCATATCATTTTTTATTATGCTAAATTCATTTTATTTTTTATTTTTATTTCATTTCAATTTTTTAAATAAAATAATTACAATTTATGATTCTATTAAAATATATCCAAATTTTAAAAGATATTCAAATACATTCAAACATGTTCAATTGTATTTTTAAAAATTTTAACACAAAATTTAAAAATATTAACACAAATATATATTACTAGGCGGAGAGCCCATCCTTGCCAAATTTCTCCATCCCCAACCCAAGCCAGGAGGGGAAATAATCCCAATGGCTCCAAACAAGGATCAAGGAAATGGGGGAAATTACCATCCCCAACTGTAAGTTGGATTGCCCAACTTGAATTTCAATGGAATTAGGCTTGGATTAGTATTCAAGCCCATTGAAAATTTGAAACACTACCAACCCATCCTCACCCAAGATCATATATGTGCTTACGGTGCCTCACAAATGCCCCATATGCACATCTCAGCGTGTATTGGAAATATCTAAGATGTTCATGATACACAATTGGGATATATTGTGGGGCATTTTATGAGAAGACCGGATCTACTCACACAGGGTGCCTCATTCACGCCTCACACGCACATCGTACCATGCATTGAGAACATCTCCCATACTTATAAGTTATTATTCACGGGAGATGTTCCCAATGCCCGGTCAATGTGCATGTGGGGTGCCCCCGTGTGAGGAGCAAATCCCGGTTCTTTTACGGGGCGCAAATGTGAATTTGAATTCTCCTCACCCAAGATGCACTTGTAATGTAACGTGCTTACGTTACGTTAGTTCACCACCAGCCATAATCCATCACCAGCAGGAGTCTGTAATAAACTAATGAAACATACTATCGTGCATGAAGAAAGCTCTGTTGATAGACCAGAGTGTCAAATTTAAAACAACCAAATATTTTTGGGAGAATGACGGTTCAACCCAGGGTCAGAATTTATAGGCCCAAAGTACAGTTGGGGTAGGTGCCAGTTCGGAATTGATGGCCTAGACCCGGAGTATCAAATTTAAGTCAATCAAATCTTTTTTATCCTACCCAATGTTTCATTTGTCTCCATTAAGAGTGCAAATGGATCGGATCATGATCTAATCTGATCCAAGATCCAATCTTATTTGGTCGAATTCGGATCACTCCTATTCGGATTTTTTTGATCAGATTTGGATCCCCCCCCCAAAGATCGAGTCCAATATATATGTTATATATTATAATACACACACATATATATGTTATTTATTTATTTATAAATATATTATTATATTGTATTTTTGTAAATCTGTTATATTGTTTATTTTTTATAAATATATATATGTGATAAAAATAATTAAAAATACTTATATTTTTATTTTTATTTATTTAAATTGATATATTTAAATTTTCTTTTAATAATTTATCAATTTTTAAAGAAAACAAATCAAATAGA